AGTTGTACGAAATTGATGTAAAACGAAGGTGGCTGAAGAAGTTGCCGAAACTAAATCCGAAATGGTTCATCCAGCTGGAACCAAAATTTTCACCGCCGTGATTACTCGAATTGGATTTCTTCGTCGTGTTCGAGGAATGACTGGTAATCGGTCCTCGAGGATTGACGCAACGAGCATTTGATTAAAAGGGTAGGACTGCGCGCGGAGGTCTTATTAGGGACGCGAACGAACCTATCTATCTATGCCAATATCTATTTCCGTGCGTGCCTGTCCTTCGGCACGTTGCTGTACATTCGCTGTACTGCTCAGACACGGCGCGTTTATTTGCACAGTTACAGCTACGGATGCGGCGCATCCGCGGATGCGGCTTTTAATTATATTTAATGAGGCACAGAGACACCTGTAGTCATCTCTGGAGACGTGATGAAACGGGGATCATAGAACGCAGTTATTGACACCGTTTGGACAAATGGCAATTAGCGTTACGTGTACCACCGTTGCTGGCTGCGAATTTGCTGGACGAAGCGACATTAACACGATCGATCACCCCGTTAAGCGTGTTACACGTTGCATAACGTGTAACACGCTAAATATATATATATATATATGTATTTATACTTTCGTCGCGCGAATGTACAAAATATCACGTAGCTGACAATCGCGTAGCGAATAGAAAAGAAAGTGAGATTTGAGTCGTGGATTTCAGTTCCAGGAACGAATATTCTGTTTTTCCAGTTGTTTGAGAATGATTTTTATTTTTATGAATAATTTTACTCGCAAAGTTATCTTTTTCATTTATTTTTGTAAATTAGCTGTTCACTTTCTTCTTATAAATAAAAGTCAGTCTTATAAATAGTAAATTTGTAAATTCCTTTGAAAGTTTCATTCATTTGTCAACTCGTCGAGAATCGAATATGAATTTGTTGCAATTGTTGGAATGAATATTTTGAGGAAAATTGTTGTTTGGTGTTTATAAATAATAGAAGTATATATTTCTCTGGAAGTTTGAATTAATGGTTGATCCATCAAGAATCAAGCAAGAATTCGTCGCAATTGGAGTGAATATTTTGTTAAATTCTTTGAAGAAAGTTTCTTGTTTAGTGTTTTGCAACTTTTTTGTTAATCGTTTAATTGATTTGTTGGCCCATCAAGCAGGAATTTTTATAAATAATTTTATTCGCAAAGTTATCTTTTTCATTTATTTTTGTAAATTGTCAGTTCACTTTCTTCTTATAAATAAAAGTCAGTCTTATAAATAGTAAATTTGTAAATTCCTTTGGAAGTTTCATTCATTTGTCAACTCGTCGAGAATCGAATATGAATTTGTTGCAATTGTTGGAATGAATATTTTGAGGAAAATTGTTGTTTGGTGTTTATAAATAATAGAAGTATATTTCCCTGAAAGTTTGAATTAATGGTTGATCCATCAAGAATCAAGCAAGAATTCGTCGCAATTGGAATGAATATTTTGTTAAATTCTTTGAAGAAAGTTTCTTCTTTAGTGTTTTGCAACTTTTTTGTTAATCGTTTAATTGATTTGTTGGCCCATCATTTTTATGCACTTTTCGGAGATTTACAGTGATGTAAAAAGTATAACGAAACTCAAACTGTATACACTGTAACGTTGAATTACTTTGATAAATCTGTAAATTTGGTCGTAATCTGATTATAGTTTCTCAAAATTTCTTTAAAATTGAAAATTAAATGAAAATATAAGAGAGAGGAAATATTAAGCGAATCATTTTGGAATATCCTTGCGAAACACAATTTTATAATGCAAACTGATTGAAAAGAATTGCAAATCAAATGTTGACGCAACGTTGATCCTTCGTGGATTAAAAATTACTAGAATTTCGAGCATGAAAGATATCATAATTCATACTAATCCCAATTTTTATTTCTTCTCATTTTATCCAGCTTTCGTAATCTTACATGGCACTTTTATGAAAAAAAAAAAAAAAAAAATGTTATAAAGTGTCGTTTAAAATTGATCAATGTACGAACACTTTCTACGCTTAATTATATCATTAGTCTATCAGCTCGCTAGATGAAAAGTTTTTAGCATGATGTTTAACTGCGAATTGTAATTACAGCTTGCAGAAAACGCAAAAGATCAAGCATCCAAGTTTGCAACTATTTTTTCAAATTTTCTAATTTCTCCGCTTTCTCGATTACTTTATGCCGGCTCGATGCTACGTATGCTACTTCTTTTCAAGCGTTTGCGCAACATTCCACGATGAAACGTCAGCCTTTTAAACGGAAAAGTATCGCAAAAATAAAGTTTTTATCCCGCGTAGCCTTCGATTTCGGACAGGTTTGAAAACAAAGTTGAAAATAACATTCCTCGATATTGGTCTGTAAATGTCACGCGGCTCGTGTTTCCCGTTTAAATTCTTATACGCAAGCAACTAATTTTAGACGTCCTGAATATTCCGTTCACACACGGATACACAAAATATAACATTGCACGCTTCTTTCCTCGGCGATCCTTTCAAACGTATGTATGTATGTGTGTCGTGTGTGAACGTACGTTTCTCAGTTCCTAAAATATGGACAAAAGTCGCCATTGTAATACGTTATAGACCGAAACGAAATTTATCGGATTTATTGAGCATATGTATGTGCTTTCGTGGGAAATAGCTGTTCATCAACGATAAGACGTGGTATGTAACGCACACACACACACACACACACACACAGCCTTTCTGAATGAATATGTCCTAGATCGGTGAAATTAGCGCGAATTTCTCCGATCGCGTTGGCAAATTCTACTCGTTGTTTTCACGGCAAGTCGCGCGTATCTCGAAATTCCTGGAAATCTGTGTCCGTTCGCGCTCGCGGAAATCACGTTTTTCGCGATGCAAAATATGTTCGAGCACTTGACAGACTCATTTCTGCATCAACGTTTATAAAACATTTTCAAACGGAACTGTTACGATTACGTTTGGGAAATATTCGCAACGAGTTTGAAAACGCGATACTCACTGCGAGAATCGTCGAACAATTTGAGCAATGAATTATTCATCGTATCGTCAATCCTAATCTGCGACTGTATCCGTATCACATTGATACCGGCTTCGTTGTTTATGTAGAAAATAACCTTTCTTATTTCGTTTTCATATTATATTTCTTACCTGGCGGTTTTCTTTTTCAATCCGCTTAGGTATTAGTTGCAATTTATTGCACTGTGTCAGACGTAAAGTGTCGAAAACGTGTAATTTGTTATTTAAATCTGAAGCTGGGGATTTAAATTTCGTTGGAATTTGCTTTGTTTTTTTTTCTTTTCCTCAAATAGAAGCCATAATTCACGTCACGATTGTGTGATTTGATACTGCAAGGCGAGAGATTAATTATTGCGGTGTTATATTTTCCTTGAAATAGTGTTTACAGGTATTACAATAACAGACACAATCAAAATGGAGATCTCTTATCCTCCATTATCAGAAAAATTCACTATATTGCGATATATTGTAACTGAACCGCGGATTACGAGAATACAAAAATATTTCAGACATTGTAGGTAACGTCGTTTTCTGACACTGCACAAAATTTTATTTTATTTAATACAATTCTAACGTATAATATAATTTAACAGCAAGTTACGTCACAATAAGTTAAATTATTGTCACTAGATGACAATGTTTATTAAATTTGAAGAAAGCAACATTACTCATGGGCAGCCCTCCTAATATAACATTTTTAGAATAGTAATGTTTGTCAAATACGTATAACATTTGTTCAAATTTCTTTCTTCACGTACACGGAAATGTAAATTTGGATGAACGCCTGCAGCCCAATTGCAACGCTTCGTCGCGACAAGAATCCTATTAATCTTCACCTTCGAAACAAGCAAAATTCTAATCAACAAAGCTTAAAACATCGTCCATCATCCTCCACCGTCGCGTAATTCATTTCACCATTAACTCCCGCAACCCGCGCAAAAAACACCGAACCCAAAAACACCACCATCGCGAGTTTTAATCGATGCGTATCACCGCGATGGCTCTTACATCACTTTTAACTTAACTTGCTGATTCCACTCTAAATCTAATTTGCTGGATTCCGACGAGCGTGGCCGGAACGGGTGGGAAAACGAAGAAGAAGAAGAAGAAGAAGAAGAAGAGAGCTGGCAGTATATAGAACATGGCGGCTATCCCCGGCCACGTTAAATCCGGATACGTTAAATCATTACGAAATAAACGTTTTCATTTCCCAGATAGAGAACAGACAGACAGAGAGAGAGAGAAAGAGTGAAAAAAGAAATTAAAAAGAAAAAAGAGAGAGAAAGAGAGGGGGATGGGAGTAACGAAGGAATCAGAACAGTGAAATTTATAGTCTCGCGGGCAGTTACGCTTAACAAGGTGACCATCGCGATTGCGATCTGCGAGAACGTTCCCCCTCCGGTTATCCCTGCGAATCGTTCTTTCTCGCCACGGGGTATCGACGTATAGCAGAGGCGTCCGATACCCGTGTAACAATTAGAATTGCGGGTGAGTTTCGGGTTGACCGCGACAAAGCGTGCACCAGCGAAGTATTGAGCCGTGTATTTCACGGTCCCTCCCCCTCGAACCCTCTCTTGTCTCTGGGCTTCTCTCTGCCCATTCAGTCACACACGCACCACTAACCAGCAGCCACCCACCCGCACAGCTATCACACAGCGTACACTCCCGTTCATAAGTCACCTTAGGGCATTTAATAAAATTAAGATTCACTCGCGACCGAAGAGGGGGGGGGGGGGTTGGAATCGACTCGCGTTCGGTTTTTTTACAACCGGCCACGACACGTGACACGCGAATTATACGTCGAATTATGCAATATTTTGTTACAGCAGGATGCTCAACCCTGAACTTATATTACAAGTTAATGATTTGTAAATTTTATTCTAGTGAAAATAATTATTATATTAAATTTATTAATTTCAGGCGAAATTTATAAGTTAATATTAGTAATGTAAATTTTTATATTAAAATATATTAAAATTATATAGTAGGATTAGTAACAATAAATTAGATTAGAAACTAGGATTAGATACCCAGTTATATTAATTTGAAGACAAACTTTTTATAATTGAATGTTCAATCATTAAAATAAAGTAATATGGCGGTCTTTTGATCTTTTTAGGGAAATTTCTGTGGGAATTTTATATATTTATAAATTTAGTATATTTTTAGACACTCGAGTGATTTTTGATACAGGCTCGTGTTTGTATTATTTTATTGTACCTTGCATTTTTAATTTCTTTCCTACAAATGTTGCACTTTAGTCATCAGTATTTCTAGAGCTAATGTGATACAATTATAAATTACGTGAGATAAATTATAATATCTATAATATTGCTGATATAACATTATTGTAATTTGTATTATGAATTTATTACAATAATTAGATAATATCGTCAATATTATCAAAGACAAAGTATAAAATAATTATATGGAAGAATTGATCAAGAAGCGAGTAATCGATCCTTAAACTATTAACGATATTTTTTCTATTAATTTTTTAAATAATCCTAATGATATTTGTCAGTCCACAATATTTATTTAAATTACATACGAACAACAGAGCAATCTCGTGTTGGAACTAATAGTGAGATGAAAATGTTTGGTTAATAAAATTCTCAAACACTAGAACAATTACTTTATAGATATCGAAACACATTTATTTTAATATTTACTTCAAAATACTTATTTAAAAATGATATATTTTTTGAATCTTCTCAACACTAATAGATACATTCTTTTCGTGATTCAAATTATTTTTTACTTCACAGCACACAAGAAGACACATGCTCGTCATTTTCGCCTATATACAAAACGTTGATTTATTATGAAATTAAATCATATTGGATTTTTTACGTAATATCTCGCGTCTTACGTAACACGAGATTTATACAAATATAAATCTCTTTTCAATTATGCAAACCTATGATAATGTATATATAAAATAGTTTAGTACAGTAAAAAGCAACTGTTAGTAAATACTCTGTTCAAATAATAAAATATTCAAACATTGAAATATTTAAATAAAGATGGTTCAGACGTAGAAGGCTCCATTGTATCACCAAATATCATAAATATACTACGAATCTTTATGCAATAAACACACCTAGTTCCAGATATCCCATTAAATATCCAAGGTAGTTGAAATATATTTCAGAAATTTGTACACGTTGAAACCCGCCATAAACGCATAAAAATCCTCGGTTTAATCGCGAAATTAATCAGGCAAAATTAGGAAACAAAATATATATATAAAATCAACAATAGATGCAACAATGTTCTGATAATCATTTCGCTGAAAATGAGCAACGTCCGGTGACTTACAGACGGGAGTGTACGTTCAAACACACATACACATGCACACACACACGCACACACACATACACACACGTGTACACATGTGGAGGCGCGATTGCAAGGCCAGCAGCCCTCGTAGCTACGGCCTGCTCTTTCCAGAACAGACAATTTGTACAGGCATAGTTATATCTATGCTTCGTCGATCGTATGTTCAAGCTGATCTACACCAACGTACCTGAAACCAATACCGGTGCTGAAACGCCGACTGGAACCAACCCTCTGTCCCTCTCAGAGAGAGAAAGAGAGAAAGAGAGAGAGAGAGAGAGAGAGAGAGAGAGAGGGAACAGATTGGCCACGACTGTGTTGCACGGTGTGTTCCCGAATATATACACGAAAACAGCGGAACGCTTTGGAATCGAAGGATCTACGAGGCTGGCAAACGGTGCTCAACGCGACTGTTGATTGAACCATTTCGAGCACTGGAGGTCACGCCTCTTGAAGCTTTGATAAAAATCCGCAAAAGAGGTTTCAGTCGCGGCGGTTTAAGGGAAAATCGCGCCATCCACCCATTTCCACCCTCCGTTTCGTGGCTTTTCATTTTGCCCGGGCGTGGTTTCATAGAGAGGCCCCTCCACGCTCCGAAAGTCTCCAGCCAGAGAGACGAGAAGTGATACGCGTGTTAATTTGTAGCCGAAACGCTCTCGTTTCTGAAACATTTCAAACGTGGTTTGTTCTATCTTTTATTTCTCCTCTTCTTTTTTTTTTTTTTTTTTTTTTTTTTTTTCCC